AGAAAGTTCAGATCAGCATCAGGATCACAATTGAAGATTTCCTGCCTCTTAACCCCGTGATCAGATCACGCCATTCATGTCTCTCATCCACCACATTCTGAATCCACTATCAGCCTCCCTGGTTTTATCACTTCACTTCCTTTATTCTTGGTAGACTGCAGCTGCCTTTATACTAAGCAATCCAAAGACTAGAAAGCATTCCATCACCTTGAGCAAAATCCTCGGATTCTGAGTCCATCCTTCACAACATGTTGTCCATGTTATAGAAAATGAACAGTTCTACCATCCAAATTGCCACATGTAATAAAGGCAGACAAATGGATTAAATGTTATAGAAAGGGTATATTCATAAGTAGCTTCTACCAAATTAATACATGATTAACACGTTTTAATAAACATTTAATTATTATAGATGGTTTTACAGTTCAATGGATCAACAAGTTACATCAATCATAATGTATATTTGTCTATCTTCCAGACTTCATTAATACATACTACTCATGTCTGTAAGAAAAGTATCTATTAACTGTTCCTTAACCCTTTATAAATTTTCTTTAAATGTATAATTGGCAAAATTTAAAAAAATGCCAAAAGTCCTTTTTTTTCCTGAAACTGACAAATATTTAGGTCTCTACCAGGGATGTGAAAATGTCTTTAGTTAAGTAACCGTAAACTAAAGTACATTTTCAGCAGTTACACAGTTACATGTGGGGCAGAAGTCAGCTCCCCAGGAGCCAGTGGTGCACTGGGAGCCTGCATGTAACCATGCACATATAAACCAGGCTCATTGGTTAACCATGTACATGGCTACACTGTCACTTCTCTGGTCTCTAGTACAGACCAATAATGGTGTAACTATGTTGCTTGGAAGTGTTAGTAATATGTAGATTTCTACCATCTCTTGTGGAGGTGGATTCACTCAACTGAAGAGAGAGCTCTCTCTTATCGGCTTAGACGAGCATCTTCATTACAGTGCTACTGAAGCATGTCTAGGATGTGAGAAAAGACCTGCAGAGAGGCAGTGGCTGGCCTTAGTCAGCTGACTTGGGTTTGCAGGAGTTGGGATGTAGAGCTATACAACTGCAGAATAGATAGATAGTTGAGTTCAGTCTGGAGCCTGGGCTCTGAGGCCATGTCAGAGATCCATCTTCTGGCATTTGAGTTAGTGGGTCTAGTTAAGACCTGCTAAACTGAATGCTGAGGGAGGCTCCAGTCGTCGTCAGTACTCCAGGCAGTCATGAGGAGTAAGGGAACCTGATGGGAGCATTTGCGCTTGTCAGCCTCCCTCCCTGAAGTCGGCGCTAATCTTGGTTTAAGGTAAGACGACTCCACCTTTGTATTTTATGTACCTGCAGTTGCATATATTAACCTGACCTTCTGGGTCCAGTGTAGACCTGGCTTCATACTCTGCAAGGGGAGCAGGATTTCTAAGCCTGGGTTCAAGCCAGAGTCTGAACGTCTACACTGATATTTTTAGCACAGCAGCACAAGCCAGCAGTCCTGGACTCAGACTCAGTGCCGTGAGCTTTCCATCACGGTGCGGATGTACCCTTAGGAATCAAAGGCTGATAGGACCTATGCTCTTACTTAACTAAGCCACCTTTGAAAGTGAGACATGAGCTCCTAAATCACTTACACTTTTTTTTATTTCAGGGTAGCAAAAAAATGCATAAGCCTCAAAGTTAAACACAAGACCCTGGGAACGCGTGTTTGTCATGTAGAGATGCAGCCATGTATGAGGATGGCTAAAGCTTTGGCATTTCACACTGATTATAGCAGTGAAAAGCTTTAGGCTCTGAGAAATTCTATACATAACTTTATATCCTTACAAACTACTACCTACATACTTGGAAAAGAATTATAAATTAACCCTGTTATTTTAAGGCTGTTTTTTTAAATTAGCACCAACCATAAAGAACATTTTAATAAAGAAATAACCTCAGGTTACTTTTTATTGGAGTGTGATTTATAAAGCTTTAGAAAAGTATCTATTCTGGAAGTACAGTGTGCCCAGTGCTATTTTTGCAATGGGAATGGAAACTCAAACTGGAAATGGAGTCATTCATTCACACTTACAGGATGACATCTTGTTGACAGGCATGCCAACTTGGAAAGGTGCTACACAGTTGCTCTTAAAATATTATTCTATATATATTTTTGTTTTAGCTCGAATTAAACAAATGTAAAAGAAGGATCAACACTTCATTAGGGCTAATAGTTCACTGTTTACAGAAGATCATCTTTGTAATATGTAAAGGATGGGAAAATCAATTCTCTTTTAATAAATATAGTACATTGTTTTCAAAACAGAAAAAACACCTACAGTTGCCAGTTAGGAGTGGGAGGCTCTTTGGCTGGATTTTTTTTCCAATTCAAATTTAATTTTTCAAATATATTCTCCATCATTTTCTTAAGGTTAACTGTTTTCAAAAAATATCCCACTGGGCAATTATTTTGATAAAATCGTCAGGAAACGTGAAGAACGAAAAAAGGGTGAGAACACAGCTGAAACAAATCCGTTTAAAAATTCTAACAAATTTTCCTGGAATGGTATTTGGATAGATCCAGTAAGTACCAAGTTTGTGATCTGAGTTTGGAATATTCTGTGAAGCAGATTATAGATTAGAAATGGGCCACTGGTAAAACCATAACAACACTTAAAGCCTTTTTGAATTTGTGGATTTGGGCCTGATATCAATCTCCATCTCTACATGTAAGGCACTACATCTCTGTACCTGATTTTACAATTAAATCCAAATTAGATCCACAAATCAGAAGGAACTTATTTTCTGGTTTCCATTTAAGATTTTACAAGAACAGTTAACCCTGTGAGATTATCTGTTTTTCATAATAACAGAAGACTAGATCAACCGAGCTTGCAAGATTTCTGCAACTTTGGGTCAAATTCTTACAAGAACAGTTCATAAGATTTCAGTTTCATTGACCTTGAATCCATATGCTAGGCCTTAACAACAAACTCTAAACCTTGGCCTAAAACCCAATCTTATCATTAGCTTTTGTTTTCGATCTAGCTTTTGCTAGGCTTGCCAGGTGTCCGGTTTTGAACCAGACAGTCCAGTATTTGAGCTTTCTGTTCAGGAAACAAATTGAGAAAATATAAACAAGAAAATAGAAATGTCCAGTATTTTCTAAATAAGATGTAATGTCGGTTGTGATGGAATGTCAAGTGTGGCCAGTATTTTTGCTGAAAGCATCTAGCAACCCTAGTTTTTGCAGTGCCAAAAAGATGAATGCTTTTCTTCTTTTTCTTTCACAAGTGGTCCCTAAATTCACCATGATTCATTTTGCAACTTCTCTTAACACCAGTCTTCATGGTTGTCTTGTTGTTTTCAAATAGCCTCTAACTTGTTCAAAAAATTACCACTGCCATTTGCATTTCTTCACCCTTCCAGATTAACAAAGCAGTGTGTAGGAAAACCCCCAAACAATCTGAACAGGACTTCAGTGTACACTCAAGTCCTATTGACTTCAATGGGAGTAAGCATATGCAAAGTTTAGTGTATCCAAGTAATGCATTCCTCAATCAGGGCCTAAGAGAGAATAACAACACAACAATAACAATGTAATATCGGCATTTACTTCATTCAGCCTCTTGGGACACCCAAAATTCATACGGCTATTGTTTCCTCGACCTTTATCTCTCTCCATTATTAATTCTCTGAGCTGATTTTAAATGATGATGATAGTTAAGAAAAATATTATCTCCATTATTTTGCCTCTAACTCCTTGTGACAGGGTTGCCCGCCCCTCCATTGGATGGCACCGTCTGCTGGTGGTTCTGGGAATTAGCTGAGTCAGGCCCAACCCCCTTTCCAGCAGTTACACCCCCTCCGTTTCTCCTCTGCAGACCCTCTTGCTCTCAGGAGCCACAGCTGTCTACACTCTGACTCACAACTCCGGCTAGGTCACCATATGTACCAAGGTTCCTGGCCTCCTGCGGTCTTTTGTTTCACTTGCCTCGCACTACCACTCCTGTAGTGGCTGGCAGCGGAACCCAGGGCCATCCTCTGCTCTGGATTCTAGCTCAGGGACTCTCTACACAGCAGCCAAGCTCTGTTGTGTCTCATTTTTGTTGCATTTCCCTGGGTGCTTTCCTAACTTTCGGGCTTTTCCTTTTCAGGGTCTGCCAGCTTCACTCCTTCCCAGCAACCCTTATCTGCTGTCTGTTCCCTGGCTTTCTGAAGACTGTATAAATTAACTTCTCCTAATTAGGGCTTAACTTGCCCCCAACTTGCTGCCTTACAGGCTAATTGATCTACCTGGCCTGTCATAATCCCTTCATGGCAAGTGTGAGGAGTACACTCCATCACACTTCTATAAAAGATAATACATCATGCCTATTACTCAAAACAAATGTTAGCTGAACATTTTTTAGAAGTTTCTTTTCTCCTTCTTCTGATTGAAATATACAGACAGTGAGGTGTGTACCCTGGTTCTCCTATAATTTTCTACACATATTACCTGAATGAAATCAAATTTAAGTAAAATAGTTTTAGACTCTCCTACAGCCTCATACACATTGACTTCTTATGATAAAGCTAATTAAGTTTTAATTTGGTTTGATGTGTCAAAAATTGCTTGAATCACAGAACAGAACCCAAAAGACTAGACAGAATTTCTTCATTCAAGCCATAAATGTCTGAGGAAAAGCTATTCTGGAGACTGTGCACAGGTAGGAAAGATCCCGGAATTGCTCAGATGCATTTCTACTTATTATTTCTACTTACTAATCTCTTATAAAAATATCCTGACAAAATGCAGTTTACGAGAACCTCCTAGATACTGTATTAAGGATACAAACCAGTCAAGGTCTATGGTTCCTTGAAAAAAACAAAGTTAAAAATATAGTAGTAAACAAGCCAAAGACATTACACTGGGAATATAGGAAATACTCTACAGTTGGGAAACAATTTCCATCCATGGGTTGACTAGAACAATTTTTAGTCTCTGGAGATGTGGATTCAAAAACAGATTAGGTCAAAGAGACTGCATGTCAAGGTCTCCTATGAATCTGGATTCTCCACACAATAGTCACCAATCGTTGAGAGTGAACAACTGGTAGAGCGTGGGGAATCTCCCAATAGATCACAATTGCTGGTGGTGGAGCTGCGCTGCTGCAAAAGCAGGCTCCCTGCCTACCCTGCCCCACACCTCCAGCCTGTTCCTGAAAGTAGCCAGCACAGCCCCACGTGTGTATAGGTTGGAGGGGAGAGAGGGGTGTTGGCGCACTGCTCCTGCCTGCAAGCACCACCCCCTGCAGCTCCCATTGGCCAGGGAATTGTGGCCAATGGGAGCTGAGGGGTGGTGCTAGCAGGGAGGGACAGCGTGCGGAGCCATGTGCCCCCTATACCTTCTGGGCACAGCTGCACGAAGTGGGAGTGCTGTAGCACCATCTTCCGGTTTTGCAATCTGAGTCCTAGGTACTGGGTTAGCTGCTGCCTTGGGGACCTGTTTGTCCACCAGCCCCTGGAATCCATTGCTGGCCCACAAAGCCAAGTCACTGGCCCCACATGTGGGATTCCCACCTACCAACCTTGCTGCTGGCCCAGGAACTCCACTGCCAGTATAGCTGTTTGTACTGCTAAACTGGTCCCAGGTATAGCCTTGATGCTGGCCCCAAACCTGGAGGCTCAACAGCTGGCCCCAGGGACCTGCCCGGACACCACTTCCACAGGAAGGGTCCTGGCTGCTATCCCCAGCTCCAGGGAGCAGTAAGGGGGCAAAAAAGCTGAACCCCAACCCCGTCCTGGAGCCAGCACTCCATACCATTTCCTGCACCCTGAATACCCTCCTGAATCCCAAGCTCCGGTCCCACGCCCCTTCCCAGAGCCAGCACCTCACACCCTTTTCTGAATCCCAAACCACAGCCCTAAGCCCACCTCCCAGAGTCAACATCTCAACTGCTCCTGACCCCAACCCTCTGTTTTGACCCCCTTCCTAGAGCCCACACCCTATTCCTCCTCCTGCACCCGAAGTCCCAGCCCTGGGCCCCCCGCAGAGCCAGTACCCCAAGACTGCCCCTGGCCCATAGCCCCATCGTGCACCCAGTCTCCTTCCCAGAGCTTGCAGCCTTCACCCCCTCCTGTATCTCAATCTCCGCCACAGGCCCCTCCCACAGTGCAAACTCCTCGGCCCCAACTCTGAGCTCACACCCCAACCTTGTGGAGGTAAGTGAGGGTGGGTGAAAGCGAGTGACCACTGGGGGCTGAGCATGCAAGAGGTGTGGCTTTTGCAAAGGGGCAGGGTAGAGTCTCACTAGATTCTCACTTTCCCTTCCAAAAAAAGGAAAAAAAAAAAAAAAAGGGAGGGCGGAGACAGCTGCTCGACCCATATAAAAAGTAACACCAAATCTCTGTGGACTCGGTTCAATATGCTTGAAAGAGGCTCACAGTCTAATTAACAGACAGAGTTGCAGATCTGGAGCCAGGGGGGCGGGGAGGCGGGTGAGGGGAGAGGCCAAGGGGGCAATTGACCCAGGGCCTGGAGATTCAAATGTCCTGGAGCTATTGGTTGCCACCACTGCTACTACAGTAGTGGTGGCAGGCAGGCAGGCAGAGCCCCGGGCCTCTTTGAATTGCGGCCCGTGCACCGCTTCACACAGCTCTGAGGGCTGGGAGGAGGGGCGTGTCACGATCTGGGCAGTGCTAAGGACAGCCCTTGGCTACACCTTGCTTGCAATCAAGGCCCCGCCCCTTCCAGAGACCTGCCCCTCACACTTTGTCCCGAGGCCTGCGGTGGCTGTCAGCCCCACTGGGTACAACTGTGTTTGGAAATTGGCAGATGCACTACCATATTATATCTCCCTTCCCTTTGCCCCCTCCTTTTATTAGTTCCTCACTTTCATAAGCAGTAAAAATAAACCCAAAAAAGCACATAAACCACCAATTAGGAGAACAAAGATAAGGAAAATAATGGTCTACACTGTGTGCATTAATTGGGTAAAAGATAAAATGGATGCAGATTAAACTGCTCCTGGTTGCGTTTCTGAATCTGTGGGCACAAGTAGGGATTATTTTGCTAATTTACTAAGTTAGAAGATACTGAAAAGCCTGCATCAAGCCTGCGTCAATTTGTCTGGCTGCATTTCCTGACTAACTGCTCTGACTTTTGGCACAATGGGCTCAAGTCTCTGCTCTGAACAAATTGCACAGCACAGAACTCAAAAGAGAGCTATGCAGAAGTGGTTTTTATGACATCTTTGCATACTCCTATTCTGGGATTTGCCCAGGCTGCCAAGAAAATTGCAGGAGTCCTACACTTGGCTGCCAGTAGGCAGTTGTGTCAGTTCTATACCAGTAAAGGAATCCTCACATCCCAGGAGGGTGATTGCTAGCAAGATCTCACCGTTTTCCTCCAACAGAGCAGCTTACAGTGACCATAAGATAACAAGAAATCCGGCCTGTTTAAATAGAAAAATAAGCCAGTATTGTCACAGCATTGTGAACTCATTGGCTAGTTGCACCTATATGTTGCACCAAAGACCCTGAATTCTGCAGCATTTAGACACAACAGCTTTAGGGAAAATTAAAACTGGAGGTTTTTACCGAATAAAAATGAAAATGACTAATACTATTAGTGTAGCCCTTTTGTCACTTATTTATATCCGTATTGATATTAAATTCAATTTGTTTTAAAGTCTACCCCTTTGTTTCTGGTTTTCTATATGCTGCATGTTAAGAGTATGGGCTAGGCAGAACTGCATTGCAGAAACTATCAAAGAAAAGATTTGGTAGCTTAATTCCAAGGAGTATTTGAGGCTTTTGGCACAAAGATAGTCAGGCAATTTAAGATGATGAGAGAAATAAAAGTGAGTAGATGACTAAAATGAGCATCAGTGAAATAGTTAACACTGAACGATCACCATAAGGTTTCATAGTGATAGAAATGCAGCCGTGTTAGTCTGGTGTAGCTGAAACAAAATACAGGACTATGTAGCACTTTAAAGACTAACAAGATGGTTTATTACCAAAGGATATATATATATGGTTGTGACTATTTTCTTCCACTATTTGATCTGAGGAAGTGGGTCTGGCCCACGAAAGCTCATCATCTAATAAACCATCTTGTTAGTCTTTAAAGTGCTACATTGTCCTGCATTTTGCTTCAACTACCCCAGACTAACACGGCTACATTTCTATCACAGTTAAGATGATGAACTTTACTAATAGGCGTGCAACAACATTAAAAAGGTTTCATAGTATTTTTCACACAAGCTTAAAAAACTTAAAAATGATTTTATACTCAGAACTGCAGTGAAATCAGCAGGCAATTCTTTCATATGGTTTTAAAAATATGACTATTTTTAAATCTTAATTTTGCTGTGCTGAGCTATCACAGTATGAGCAGTTGTCATATTTTGATAGCAGAAATCTATACAGTGGAGGACAAAAGCAATAGTCCAATGAACTGGACATTGTGTTGCAATCTCCTTCCATAAAAACAAAGAAGAGACCTGTGGCACCTTAAAGGCTAAGAGATTTATTTCAGCATGGTCTTTAAGTCTCAGCTTGACAAGGCCCTGGCCGGGTTGATTTTGTTGGGATTGGTCCTGCCTAGAGCAGGGGGCTGGACCTGATGACCTTCTAAGGTCTCTTCCAGCTCTATGGTTCTATGTAATGATATTAGAGGTGGGGAAGGGTAGATGTCTGTGAGTTAATGGTATTAGAGGTGATAATTGGGGAAGCTATCTAAGGTTTCAGTGTTACAATCCATTAAAATGAAACAGACCAGGTCGCACCTCTATTGTAACGATGGCATTATATTGTAGTTTTAAACTGTATGCAGATTCACAAAGATCACGTCAGTTTGCACTCTGTTCCTATGTATCTTTGGGAAGGGTAGATGTCTGTGAGTTAATGGTATTAGAGGTGATAATTGGGGAAGCTATCTAAGGTTTCAGTGTTACAATCCATTAAAATGAAACAGACCAGGTCGCACCTCTATTGTAACGATGGCATTATATTGTAGTTTTAAACTGTATGCAGATTCACAAAGATCACGTCAGTTTGCACTCTGTTCCTATGTATCTTTAACGAGGAGTCTAGAAACAGGTGGTGTTTGTTTTTTGATTTTGAAACAACTCTGCTGTGAGAGACAGATCCCATAGGACTGCAGAATTCACAGACCCTTTGAATATGGTGGCTATATCAACATGGTTTTATAAAACTTCATTAACTTAACATGTATAAAAAATATTTTTAGTATAAAATGATTCTTCTTATTTTCAGTGTCAACTTTTACGCTACACGGCAAAAGCGGGGTTAGGAAGAAACAAGATTCTAATTCCATCTTCTTCAGAAGCATGTGTTACTGACCGCAGTTGGAGTTGCAGATAAGAATCTATAAGGACAACTCGTCTGATGTGATAGCTTCACAGTTTTTGACTATTCAAACCCTTTAATACAATCCCCCTTGCCAGAGGTTGTCAAATTAGTGATAAAACTCTCTTGGAAATAAACATACCTCCTTTGCTAGGTTTGTTTATAATTCTGCAAAAGAAAAGGAATTTTAAAAGTAAATAAATACATGGGAGGATTAGAGAAGCAATAAACAAAAAAGTATTTCCTCATTTTGGGTTAAAAAAAAATAGAAGTCCCTTTTCTAGCCTTAACCAGGAAATATTCCTTCATAGAAAAAGAGGCATGCATTATCTAGGATCTCATTTAGATTTTAGGTACACAAGCATTGAAACATATATATATATATACTCAAACAGTGCGCAGATTCCAGTCCAAAACTTAGCACACAATTCTATTGTGCCATTATGGATTGATCGGCAGGGGGTTTTAACATTAGCTAACACCAGTACAGACACAGAACTGTCTTTAGTTGTTAGCTGTTAAAACTAAAGCTGAAACCTTTTAGCCATAATGAAGGAGTTTACAGGGTTCTTAATCCCTGTACCCCACCCTGATTCTCCAGCGATCTCGCTGAAAGCTTTAAAACAGCCCACACCACTAACATGGTGCAGAGCCTGTCGAACATGCTTATCTGCTCATGATTACTCTGTGCCACTGTAAAACAATCTAACTCCTCAAGTGAATGGAGTCTGTAGCAACAATGGTGTTATTGACTTGTTGCTCCAGCTCTATTTAGTTATTACCCTCGAGGCCACAATCAATAGACTTTGCACCAAGTCAGCCTAATAAATCCCAGGCTTTCACTGGAGTTTTGCCAGGAACTGCAAGAAAATCTATGGCAGTCAAACACTTAGAGTATGAATAACAGAGAAAGCTGTACTGACAGCTGTATAAATTAATTAACAAGGAATGTTCTTATTCTTTTAAGAAGATCATAATGCATGTTTATTGTGCTTTAGAGAGTCAGAGGTAGAGCAAAAGACAAATTACCTTTATGCTTTCATTAAAAAATAATCAGAGGTCTGATTAAAATGAAAACAGCCTTTAGCCTGGGATCAGCCATATCTATAAATTTCCAATTATTCAATGTGCAAAAATAAATGTATATTTATATTACTGAGATGGACATTTCATTATTCCAAGTTTGATTTAAAAAGCAACCCAAACCTCAGAGTGTTGTACATGCTGTGTTGACAGTACCAGCACTTTATCTCAGCAAATGTTGATTATTATGCATTTGTGTTACCAGATCCTTCCTCTGCAGTGGGGAATTGAATCCTGCTTGTAATGCCGCAATTAAAATGAAAACAAATGGGGGTGGGGGAAATCGGTCGGTTGTTTAAGTGGTAAGAGGTCGGTCACTAGCGAATTACAGGTTCTTTCAGTTCCTCATGTAATAAGCAAATATTCTGCAGACTCAGCTTGGAGGCGCCCCAGATCATAGCGTCCTGAGACATTCTGAACCCTCTGTAGCAAGAGCTTGGTGCCAGCCCAGGGACAGAAGAATCTTTTCTTTGCACGTTGAAAACAAATGTTACAGATCAATAGGCTCTTAGAACTTATTTGTTGCCCCAGTGGTACTTTCTAGAAGCAGTCAGCTTTCCTAATGAGGGTCGCAGCATTTACAGGAAGCAACAAACTAAGGTCAACTAGCCAGCTGTTCTGGCACTTGACACTTGCAATCAGACTCCCTTAACTGCACTGTACGTGAATAACCTTTTGGTAAAGACAAATCCTCCTTCATGTGGTCGGCTGCCGCTTTTACGTTTGGGGAAGGAAAGCTTGGGCCAAAAGGATGAGCTGTACTGCTAGTATGGGAGATGTGTTACATCTATCTCAATAAGTAACTGTACCTCAACTTAATAAGCTAGGATCATCATTAGGCCCTTTATCCAATTCTAAGGCAAGCACAGACCAGACAGGCCTCTCGGTTCAAGCAAACATAATGGGAAAGAACTGGATCTCATATGGAAAATAACAATGATAATTTACTGAATTAGGTTTAAAAAGAAAAACTTTATTGAAGTTCGTGAAACATTTTGAAGTGGGATGTTATGATTGTCCTTTACTATTGAGTTTAAGTACTATCTTTGCATTAAAAACTCTAATCACTGTTTTCTACTTCTGTTGCTGCCTTCTTGCATCACTGTCTTTAAGATTTCTGTAGCACCTCTTCTTTCAAATGTGCTCTCCCATCCTCATCTTATTTCAGATGATCATCCTCAATGACAAGTTCAGTAACACTAATTACAAAGAAGACTGATCCAGATACACATTCAAAGCCCTGTGACAAAACCTCATTCTTTTCCCTTGTGAAAACATGCACATATATTTACAACCTAATTCCTTAACAATTAAATAAAAGAACTGTTGTAAACCCCTGACACCAGAGGTATGGCTGAGAAGGCATTTTGAATTTTAAGACCAGGTACTTTAAAATTTCTGGAAATAGACTCCTTTACCGTAACTCAAAGTGCTTTCCCTTTCTTTTTTTAGGCAAAGTGAGTTCCGTTTATTTCACCATTTTTGTGTTAGTTGAGCACTGAAATAAAAAGTCTTTCCCCATGTTTGGTTTAGAAATATCTCAAATGCTGTTTAGCCTTTTCATTTTTCCAAAGTGACTTTGATTTATAACTTCAACATTCAGATATATATACGTCTCTCTGTGAGGAACAGACTCTTTACTAAATCTGAGCTGAAAAAACTGATTTTCAAAAGTAATGCAGTTTTAATTGCTAACCCAGGAATAGCCCAACACCTAGCCACTAAAATTCAGACGTTTTTAAAGATGTCTCCAAAAACTGGGACCCAACAAAATCAAACTACTGTACTTTTGAAACTCCGGGACAAAGAATCAATTCAAAATATTATAACGGGAAAGGATAGCTCACGCCATTGGCTGTACATCATCTTAGATGATTATATGCCATTGTCTGATGCCAGTAGGGCAAAAGTTATTTGCACAAGCACTGTGAAATAAAGCTATAACTTTTGGGTCCTGGATTGTCCTTATGGTTCTCTCTATGTTCTATAACCATCTCTTCCATTGTGCTTCTGATATGTAGTCATTGTACTATGTTAATCACATTGCAGATACAGTGAAGGTTGAAACAAAGAGGCTGTGTCTATACTGGCGCGATTTTGCACCAGGGCTATGCAAATGAGGCTCAGCATGGAATATCGCTGAGCCTCATTTGCATAACTAATGAGCCACCATTTTTGCGGAAGACGCTCTTGTGCAAGACGGAGCTGTCTACACTGCCCCTTCTTGCACAAGAAAAACCCTCTTGTGCAAAGCCATTATGCCTGAAAATAATCAGCATAACGGCTTTGCGCAAAAGGGTTTTTCTTGCGCAAAAAGGGGCAGTGTAGACAGCTCCGTCTTGCCCACGCTGAGCCTCATTTGCATAGCTCTGGCGCAAGATTGCGCCAGTATAGACACAGCCAGAGTGTTTACAATAATGCCAATAATACACATTACTACACATACATCAAGACACTAAGGGCATGTCTATACTTACCAGAAAATTGATGTTCTGGAGATCAATTTTCTATTGTCTGATTTAGTGGGTCTAGTATAGACCTGTAAATTGAACGCTGAGGACAGCTCCCACTGGCCTCCTGCTCTGTGGACGCTGCCACGGCTCAGCTTAAGGTAAGCTGACTCCAGCTACACATTTTGACAACCTTCTTGGTCTAGTGTAGACCAGGCCTGAATGACGTAGGCTTAGGTTCAAGAATGTTTGCAAGAACAACCTTAACTTTTAACATTGAACCTGCAAGCTGGGAAGATGCAGCTTATAACACTGGAGGGCTGCGTTGTGCCAGAGGGTCAAAAAGGCAGAAGAGAGGTGGCTGAAAGAGGAAAACAAAGAGGAAAGCTCAGCAGGGCTTATGCCTGCATTACTTGTGGCAAGGGCTATCCCTGAAGCACAGGACTCTTCAGCCACTTGCATTGCTGGAACTTGGCTCATTTCTGCAACTGACCTGCTTTGGTGTTTACATCTTTCCGGATGGAGGGTTGCCACACACATGCACCACACTCAGATTCTCATGCATGTGGGAAGCATAACTTTGAACGTTCAGATTTTGGTGGTTTTGCCTTTTCATACCAACCGATGCATTCTTTAAAAGATTGATTGCTTTTAAATGTAAACCTATCTGTCTTCTGATTCTGAATCCTGCTTTAAGACAGGATTAAAAAAAGTGAATGCAAAACCAGATTATTTTGCTATTGCAAGGTTTTTTGTTAATAGCAATTATAGCTGGAAAGTACATCTTATTGTCTACCTCTGCTCAGTGACAATTTTGGCCATTACAGAAAGAAAGAGCTTAACATACAAAACTACACTTGTAGAAGCTGTAAAATCCTTGTTTAAAATATATTGGTTTAAATCTCATTTATTAACATGAAACATGATAACACTTGTGAAAATTACTTCAGGGGAATGTAATTCAAGTCTCTTCACATCTGGGTCCTGAAATTCATTACTGAGCAGTAGAATTGAAGACTGGGGGCATCTCTCAGCCATGAATGCCATGGGCTGCAATACTGGAAGACTTTGCAAGTGAAGCATTATGTTGAAGGAAGACTAGCAAAGAACATGTAGAAGCTACAGAATCTACAGCTGGCAACTTTCCCTCTGAGTTAGTACTGCACCCATGTTCCAGCATGTTGTTAATGAGCACATGGAACGGCTATTTTTTCAGAGATGTAAAACTGTGCTACTAAGCATTTGTGAGTCATTGAAAGTTCTCCTGAGGAGAGTAAGGACATTATAATCCAATCCCAGCACAGCCAATTACACTCTGCCTACCCAAATTCCTTCTCCAATTTCCACTGTACCCTCCTTACCACATTTCCTAAAATCTGGCACAATGTTCCTGTGCTCTTTTGAACTTAAAGATAAGCTGCAGTTCAGAGGCTGGCGAAGAGATTCCTACATGTATCTCAACTACCTACTTCAAAGGGTGCAGTGAAAGTTTAATTAACATACTTTGAGATTCTCACATGAAAGATGCTCCAGAAGTGGAAAAGACTATTTATCGCACGGCACTACACTTCTGCATAGCGCTTGATAGACTCCCTATCAATATATAGAAACTCCAGATGACCCAGCAAGAAAGGGATCGGACTAAAGATGCTCAGAAGAATCGTTATTGTACTCCTGTTCTGTAATAATACCTTGAGAATATCTCCTTTTCCCCGTACTGCATCAAGTTTAAATGTGATGATCCTCGTCTTCATGGCCCTGCATAATCCCAAGACGGTCTACATTTCTGACCTCATCACTTACCGTGTCACATCTTGCTCCCTTTTCTATGACAATGAAGCCTGGCTTTTTCCATAAATACTTTGGTCACTTCTACTTTGGCACCCCTAGTTATTAAGCTGATTCCCAGTTCTCTTCCACCAAGCAATAAACTACCTCAAATCCATAGATAAAAGACTCACTTCTTTCATGGCTCCCAGGAGAGATAAAACCATAATAATTATTTTTAAAAATTAATGCATCAAGTCTAGACTGAGAAACTGAAAGATCTTGGTGCTGTTTGCTTCATCCTCTCACTTCCCTACTCTCTGCTATTACTGATAGTCATTGCATCACATGTAAAAACTCCTTCAGGCATGTGTCTGCGTTGGTGTCATAAAATATCCAGCTCACTTTTGGCCATCATAACAGTAATTAATAAAGAGTTATTAATAATCAAATAAAAACATAATATTAATTTCCCTAACTGTCTGTTTCATAGGTCATACTTGAGTAAGTATGGCAATTCCCAGAAATGTTGCCACTAGAAGGTAGAATTTCAATAAATTACATCACTCTGTCAACTAATCAGTGTGCTACTTACTACTCTATTATTCCTGGAAATGTTGCCTTCTGACATGGCATTTTGGAACACTGAAAAAATGGTGGCAACCGCAAGGGGATAAGCAGTGGTAGCCAACAACCCACGTACCAGTGTGTCTATGTTTGCCAAAGCATCATCATCATTTTATTTCTGGCTTTGGCCTTCTACAAAAGTTAGCCAAGCAACTTATTACAGACAGCCCTAAGATGGAGGAATGTTTCAAAACAGATTTTAAAAAAGTCTGGTCTGCAAATTGTGGAAAGGAAAAACTGGTGGAGCTGAAATAATATATTTTAATGTAAGCTTCTTAAAATATCGTCCTACTTAAACACAATTTGGATAAAGGCTTTAAAAAGTTGCATAGTTCCTCTAACTGGTTTTCTAATCTAGAATGTCTGCTATCTAATTTAATCTTATCTAGCTCTTAAAGTGACAATGCTGAACAACGGCAGGCCAAATTAGAAGCAGGAAATGTTCTTCTGTCTACAAAGTCTGGGTAGGTGTAACAAAAAAAGAAACGGCATTTTTGTAAACCAGACAACTACTGAACATTCTATGGAACTGAGTAAATAGTAACATTCTTTGGAACTGAGTCCTCAGTGATTCATTCATTTCTATCAAAAATTCTGCAGCTAATCAGGATTCCAAAAAAAAAAAAAAAAAAAAAAAAAATTCTATGTTTTTTGTCCTATATTAATTGGTGCTTACCAACAGCTTCTCAGAATCTGAGACAATTCATCCTCTTTCCAACTAAAACTGTTATTTACTTGTGTTGCTCCAAAATTCTTTCGTCGTGATAAAGTGGATCAACCCAATCTAAATGTTTTGATCTATTACATATGTGGAAAATGAGACACTGGCACAAGAAAAACAGCTGCTTTCTAAGTGCTGTGTCTAAACTGCCTCTACTGCACAGCATGGGGGCAAGTGAATCAGCCTCTTCCAATGGAAACTGCTTTACCTTTGAGGCTCCATGTAATATGGGAAAGGAAAGTCAAAGCCTACTTTAAAGGACAGAATTGAGCTAAATGTTACTTGCAAATGGATTAATTTCCTCAACATGCAGATTGATCTACTGTGGGGTTTTTTTTCGTACTGGAAGCATTCTGCAACGGTTCTGATACAAGTGAGCCACAATTAACCTGGAATCCATTGAAAGGGCATTATTTAATTTGGCCTAAAATTAAGAGTAAAAGTGAAAACAATATAAAGGAGGCTGAAAAAATATGCTTGGGTGAAATTTAAAATAAAACATTTCTAGTTAAATATGCTCCAGCAAGATTTGCAGTCGCAATATCTGTGTCAGTGCTTAAGAACCTGAAAGTAAAATTTGCTAAAAACATAGATGAAACTGACCTGTCTGTTATCACTCTCCAAGCACAGACAAATGCCAACAGCAGACAAACAGCATAGACAGCAAAAAGCAAATTAGATATTTTTAAAACAGTTTTAATTATCTGAGGTCAGCCTGTGGCAGTTTTAACACTCTAATATGTTAGTAGTACCATATGTAAAGACATGAAAAATGTCTTTTCATATGGTACTAATAAAATGTTGAGGCATAGGGCCATACTCCAGGGCCCCTGGAGTGTGCCTGTGTGTCAGTCTCCCTGTGCAACATTATCATCTGCATGTAAATATCAGTGCCTCCAACTATGACTATGCACGTACAAACGGCTGTGCATACAAATTCTTCAAACAAGCATTTCAGGGGCCCCTTTTAAGATTTGACCCTGGGTAGTTAGACTGTAGCAGGAGATAAAAGTTAATTCAAATTCAGTGTAAGAATAGCGAAACTTCATTGTTTCGGTGCCAGTTCTAACCAAGTTCCCCTAATCATCTTCCTGTTTCAACTTTACTATCTGCGTTCCATTAAAAAAATTCCCAGGCTAATTCCACTCAGCTGCACCATCCAATCCCACTTTTCACACTATATTCAGTCACACAACAATTTAAACCTCACAGCTAAATCTGGAACACTGAATGCAATACGATTGGTTGCATTATCTCCTGTGAATGGAACTCAAGAGAACATGTGTGGACTCCTTGCAGCCATATGAAATAAACCCCACGGCATCCATACCATAAGTGATTGGCCACCCTTCATTAGAATTCAGGTTGCCAGCTGAGCTCAGAACTTTCACATCCTATGTTATTTACAGAAAACTTTTAAACAGTACAAACAAACAAAAACGCCTCAACCCTCCTAGAAAACCTTGATATGCTCAGTAAAACTAATATCAAAGAACAGCTATGGAAGTTTTTTGGTGGGAGGAGGCAACACACAACACAAAGTTGTCCATGACTGCAATA